AGAGCGTCTCTAGTTGGCACAGGTCTGCAGGTATTCTGTACTGGTTAGATTTCTTCTTCAGCTAGGGAAACAGTTGCCGCCAGAGACATTCTGTGCCTGTGGGCGCTCCACATCCTGGGTCTCTCCTGTCCTGCCCGAATCTTGCCGGCTTCACTGACCCTCAACTCTTCCTCTGCTTGTGCGTGCTGTTGGTTTTGCCGGAGCGTGTAGACCAGACGTCTTTCTGGCCCTCGTTTGGGAGGGCACTGATCTCCAGGGAGCAGCTTTGTGTGTGGTGGGGTCGGGGTCCTCAACCATGGCCTTCACTTTCGCTGCTTTCTGCTACATGCTGTCCCTGGTGCTCTGTGCTGCGCTCATCTTCTTCGCTATCTGGCACGTGAGTAACCTGCAGCCGGCTTCTAACTCTCACTTGCCCCCACACCCCCATGCCCACCTCGTCTCCCCATTTTACTGCAGGCGTGGGTGGACTGTGAGGCCAGATAGAAGCATTTTCTGGACAGACCTTGTCCATCTTCCTTGTCCCGGGCCACGAGACACAGTTCTTGGCATCCCGAGGCCAGGCGGTACAGGGCACACCTTCTTGCCCCAGCTGGAGCCTGTGGCCCGCCGAGGCACTCTCCTGGGCGTGGCAAGGTGTCCCGGGCCAGCTAGCGAGTAGTGGCTCCAAACCCATCTGCACGCTCCCCCCACCCGTCCCCCCGCAGGAGAGAAGATGAGCTGCCGGTGGCCCAGGCAATTAGTCAAGTAACTATAACAACTAAACATTTAAAATGTCAGCATCTGTGGTGGGTTGCGTTTAGACATAATTGGAGACAAAGTGGAAACGCCACCAGAGCGCCTTGTAAGAGGAAGCAGGGAGAGGCCAGGCAGGAGGGGAGGGAGATAAGAGACATGGGAATGAAAAAGAGAGGGAGGAATAAGGTCTCCAGGTGGTATAGATCTGATCAGGTCCCATAAACCCTAGAGTACAAGCTTCCTCCCAGGATGGAGAGCGGATGGGTCCTGGGTCACCAAGTGTGATGTGGTGTGGTGTAGAGCCGAGAACTCCCGGAGAGGGATAAGGAGGAAGAAGCAGGAGCAAGAGGAGCAGGTGGACTGTGTCACATTTCACAAACCCTTGATCCCTTAGGTTCCTTCTGAGGCTGGCTAAGGTCCCCACTCTCACTCCGAGAAAGATGGTCAGAAGGACCACGGTCCCAGTACCTGATACCCACTTTTGACAGCCTTGCCCTTCCAGCAGGGTGGGGTGATGGAGGGACTCTGAGACCAGCTCCCGGAGGCTCTGGGGTGCCTTGGAGAGCTGGTATACTACAGGAGATGACCCAGAAGGAGGAAGAATGGGAAGTAGTTGAGATGCTGGTGTTTTGTCTGAGTGGTTTCTAGTGTGAGAGGGTTTGTCTTAAAATAGAAGCCTCCATATCCTGCTAGAAGGGCTGTGACAAAGAGCAGAGGGAGAGCGTCTGGGGAGGTGGGAGGGGCTTCTAACCACCAGACCCTGAAAATCACATCCAAGGGACGTCCACCTCTTTCTAAGCGTGTGGAATCACTTATCAGTCGGTTTAGGAATGTAGACATAGGAGAGAGGAGATCCGATGTAGAATTTGGGGGCTGATATAAAAAGTCCTGCTGGTTAGATGTGGTGGGATTTGTCCTCTCTGCCCTGCAATGGTGAGTCTAACCTACGGCAGACAGTGGGATTTGAGGCTGTTGGCAATTGCTGAGAAAAAAATGAAACTGTTCCAGACTTAGGTTGGAAAGAGATTCAGGGTAGACGATGCCCAAATATGCAGCAGACATATGCTCCCGTATTCTAAAGGAACTTTCCAGGCTTCTTTGGATTCGGAGAGGGAGCCACATTTTTGAAGGCTAATACTTAATTTGCTGGGTTTTCCTGATTTTGCTTTGCCTAGAAGGTGCCAGATCCCGAGAGCACCCAAACTCCTTCATACTTGATGCACTGGTTTTGCAGCAGGGTGGGTCACCAGCAAGAATTCTCTTCTCTCCCTCAGGGTGTGCGTGGGTGGGGTTGGGGAGGGAAATAAATAATTCAAGAACAAGCTAATTAAGTGGATGGTTGGTGCAGCTAAGCTGACCAAGAGACAACTGAATGACAGTTGCGTGTCCTAGTGGTTCTGCACTGGCCTGGCTCCCAACCCTCATCTCCCAGTCAACACAGTCAAAGCCCACATCAGGTCCTGTTGGCACAGTTAGTGGAAGTGACACAGTGACAACTGGCGCAGTCCCTGTTTCCCAGTCCTTTCCTTCTCTCTCTGAATCAAGCAATCCAATCCCCACCACAGTGATTTGATTCCTGAACACTGAAAGCTGAACTCAGAAATGGTCTGATTTCCCAGTACACACACTGTGTGTTTGTGGATGTTGTTGAATGGTGGTAATTATATCAACCCAAAATTTAGGAGAGTTAGTAGATGGTTCATTTGCCGTCTTTCCGGCATCTTATATTTCTATACATTTCCTGATCTGATGAGTCATATTGATTGCTTAGTATATATTGACATTCCAAGCAAGGAATCCGTATTTAATACACAGTGGTTAAAATGCCTGCACCCCCTGGCCTGAAAGAGATGCCCTTGGCATGTTTTTTCCCTCTATTTATCTGTATATGTATATACCTGCTTAATAACTGAAGTTACTGTCTTTACAGCATGTATGCATCCATCCTTTGTAGTTTGGAGAAGACCTCTCAGGTGTACCTCCAGTTACCCCCCCCCCATGTCTAGAAGCAGAGATGGATGTGGCTAGTCATAAGCACATTTAAATATTGATTTTGCCTTGAAAATCTATCTGCACTGTTTTCACATGAAATTATTTCCCATCAGCCACTGCATTTGAGTGCATTTGTCAAGCTTTGCAGAAACAGAGTGAGATTGAGTTCTTTTGTTTGTTTGTTTGAAACCATGGATTTGTGTTTTTCATGGATATTGTCTTTTACACGACAGGGCATCCTTTAGTCCCCACAGATGATTTTTTTTTTTTTTTTTTTACACAGGAAGAAACTATGGCGCAGAGAGGTTCTAAAATTTGTCTAAACTTGGGCAGCTAGTATATGCTGGTTCTGTGAGACTCTTATGGCCAAGCCCTTTCCCCAGCTGTAATCACTGGCTTTGAATTATTGATTTAATAATAGTTTTTACCCCAACAGTATGTTCTATGTCAGAAAGACATTTAGAGTTGGGATTTCTGATTAGAGTGTAACGAGGCCCATCCCCCTCCCACCTTTCTGTTTGCTTTGTTTCATTTTGTTTTTTGGTGGAAGTATTGATATATAGTCCAGGCTGGCCTGGAGCTCATGCTCATCCTGCCTCTGCCTCCAGAGTGCTAGGATTACAGGCATTTACTACTACACCTCGCTATGTATATTCCTCTTTAAAAGAAGAAATTCTATTCCATCTTCTTAAAAAGTTGACTTTTACTTATAAAAGCAAAAGGGTATAGGTTCATTTCACAAAAGTTTGAAAATACAGCGAAACAAAAGTCACCACCCAGCTCTCCATCCAGAAAAGACTGGGTGGCTTTCGTGTGTGTGTGTGTGTGTGTGTGTGTGTGTGTGCATTTAAAAAACCGGAATGTTGATGTTCAGAAGGGAAAAGGCCCACAAGTGTCCTGAAAGGTTTGCTGTGTGCAGTGATGTCTGTTTCCAGCCAGTCTGAGGCGAACAGTGTTTACTCACAGTTCAGTATCGTCTCTGCTCCAGCTTGGCCGAGCCTGTTTGCAGACGGTCTCATTATATAAACACAGATGAAGCTGTTCTTTGAAAAGATCAAAGACGTGTTACCGCTTATTTCAAGCTTTTAGTTTTCCAGGATTTTTAATATCTAGAGTCCCTCTGAACTTTGGCAATTAACAAATATAATTAGTTCCTGGTGATGCTCTCTGGAAAGGTTTGCTGTATCACCCCATCTTGAAATTGCTTTGGGCATGGTGACATTCACTTTTGGAGTCTGAATGGACCTCACAGGGGATAATGAGTACCAGTCTGCTGAGGGGAAGTTTTACTAGGCAGTGTCTTCATGGATGAACCTTTCAGCCAGTTCTAGCCTGCCACGGACTGAGCCATTAGGGACACTTTCTCCAGTTTTCCATCTATGAAAAGAAAGGGGTAAGCGCTTTACAAAACAGGATTCTTGGGTCACTATAACCTTTTCTCAGAGACCCTTTTGACCTGCTCTGAGTCAGGGACAGCATGAGCCCCTGCCAGCCCTTCTTGGGCCTCCACTGCTGGTCTGTTTGGATCAAGCCATCCTGTAGCATCCAGGATCAGCCACCTGCAGCTGCTGCCTGTCCACTCTGTCCTCTGCCACCCCATGTTCTCTCTCCATCCACACAGGAAGAGAAGGGCCTTTACTGCCCATCCTTTTTCTTCACCACTGAGGATGACCCTGGGGGCATGGAGGAGCTTAACCAGCTTTATAAGGGCAGATTCTCTGGCCCTTGTGCCTGGCCCATCTCTGGCTGTCCTTTGGGACCACACCCTAGGTAGCGAGGGACATGTATTTTTTTCTGGACCTTGGTGCTTTGGGACCTGGAGAACTACAACTGATGCAAAGAGGACCAAACATTCCAGAAGGTCAGGGCCCTTGACATTAGTGTGGAGCCCTCTTGCAAGGGTGTGTGTGTGTGTGTGTGTGTGTGTGTGAAAGAGAGAGAGAGAGAGAGAGAGAGAGAGAGAGAGAGAGAGAGAGAGAGAGAGAAAGTGTATGTGGTGTGTGTGTGTGTGAGAGAGAGAGAGAGAGAGAGAGAGTGTGTGTGTGTGTGAGGTGTGTAGGTGTGTGTGTGTGTGTGTGTGTGTGTGTGTGTAGGAGGTGGGGGAAGCCGTGGTGAACCTGGAGGGCTCCCTCTGTCTGTCTGATGTGCTGTGTTTCCTCTTTTAAGAGGGTGGGGAGCATTGGTGAACCCAGAGGGGTCCCCCATCGGGTGTGATGCCTGTTTCTTGTTTCTGCTTGTGTTGAGTGTTGACTGGCCGTCCCCCAAAGCCAGGCTTGCCATCACTGTATCTCCATCAATCATGCAAGCACAGAGGAGGGAATAGAACTCAGGGGCTCTGGAAACAAGCCAGTGCTGCCTGGCGGAGCACCAGCAGTCTCTGATGTTTGTAGGCCTCCTAAGGTGGGGTGTAATGGAGGCATCGAGGCAGTTTTCTTCTAACTCTCCAGTCTCTGAACAAAGGCAGGTGAAGCTGTGTGGCCATGTTGTGGGTGTTTCTACCTGTGCCAACCCTGAGACCATACCTGGCTTCCCTTCCCTCCTGCCCCCCCCCCCCCCCCCCCCCCAGCCGCTGCAATGTGCTGTCCACTGTGAGTTCATGTGGCTCTGCGCTTTATTTTCTGCTACTGACTTCTTCCTTCCTAGAAGGTG